TTTTGGTGCAAAATGCTAACACAGCTCTCCCCTTGGCAAATCTGAGTGGCTCCATCCATCCACTTTGGATTTAGATGGAAAAAGAGATCAAAAAGCAGCTGCTTAATTTTTACATTTCCTGCCTTTTCAGGGCATTTAAAAATGGAAACCTTCCTGCTACTGTAAGATATGTGTTCATACTCAGCACTATAAATGCTGACAGCTGCCAGACCACAAATCTGGACCCATGATTTTGCCAGAAGGGATGGTGGAACAGCGTGTTGATGCACAATATTGTCATTGTTCTCACTTAAAAATACATATTATGYATTGTTTAGGCTATTATCCTCACCACACATGGGGACATGATTTATCTTAGAAAAAATCAAAATACAAAACACTAAAAAATAATGATGCAAATGCTGCAGTGTCTCTATGTCACCTAAAAACATCCAGAATGATGACATGTGGCTTCTGCAGATGTGTTCTGGGCTAAGAGCTTTTGRGATATTCACTGATTCCTCGAGCCACATCTGTGAATTACATGGACCAGGCCTGGATCTCAKGATTTTCCTTTAGATTTGTGTTGGKGTGAGTGAGCCCAAGACAYTCCTGGCCTTGTTTGAGTCTGGCAKGGCTGTGCCTCCCTTGTGGGTGACATGAAAGGTGTGAGACAGGAGAGAATCAGATGGGAAGCCTCTTGCACAATTTCCACCTGCATTTGTCCTTGAGTTTGGTGGAGAAAAATACCCATTTTTTTCATTTTAGCACTTGTCACAAAACAAAAATGCCAAAATTCTCTCTCAAGGAGTGAATCTGCCATGAGCACCCAACCTCTCCTACACTTTCATCCAGCAGAACCTTTTAAGGGTTTCTCCTGAATCTTCTTTTTTAATTCTGTCCATTCAGAACACCACCATCCTTACACATACACTGTGTTCATTTTTTGGGATGAAGTGAAACAATTCCTGCAGTGGYGGTCACTTCAGGACCACGCAGAACAAACTGGAGAAGCAACTGCTGTGAGAGTGTCATTTTTTTTTTTGTACATTCTCTCCATTTCTTGCTCAGTGATGTGTGGAGGGATCCTTTTGCCATCCACCTCTGGGGTGGAGTAGGGCAGAAAATGAGGAATCCTTTAACAGGATTGCTAAATAAAACCAGCAGCCTTTGCTCTCTAAGGTTTGGAGAGGGCTGCTCATGGGCTTGCTCAAAAATTGGAGTGATTTCAGTGCATTTCCGTGGTTCTSTTAGAGCACTGTGTGCAATAATGGGATGTGTTGTTAGTAAAATGCTTTAAATGCTGCCCCGAAGGRAGGGCAATTTTAGCAAGGCTTTTCTGTTTCAATACATCATCTGCCAAGCCCAGCYGTTTTTATAAGGTGCAGGAGAGTAGCCAAGAAAGCTAAAGAAAATAAAATATAAGTATATATATATAAATGTATGTGATATAAATTGCAGGGGGCAGGATGCTTGAAAAGTGTATTCATCAAATATGGCAGGCAGAGTGACTGTGGTGAGAAGTTTGCAATTTTGCTGCATGCTGAAGATATTAGTGAGTGTTTGAACAGGACAGGACTGCAGTGTCCTGGCTGCCTTTGCAGAAGGTGCTGACAGCCTGCATAAGCAAACATTTATGTCTCCCATCAGATCTGGGGCCAGCGTGTTCACAGGGAGCTCTGCTGGGATTCTGGGATGGTGCTGCTGCCTGTGAAACAAAACCCCCACCATGCAGGAGGAGCACAGATCATCCTTCCTTAAACTGAGCTTTCCTTCTGAGTCAAACCCTGTCGCTGTTGGCCAGACAGCCGACACAAAATGACACAAAGACACACATATATACACACAAAAAGTAACTTCTTTATTCTGGGACAGGCTTCTTTTATCCACTTTAGTAACCAGTGCATACATTTGTGTCACACATACATTGGTCAGTGAGGCTGTCACTTTCTACTCATCAGCATAGGATTGGTAGGTTTGCAAAAGCTACAGTATTAGTAATGTTTATAATTGTAAGCCACYTGCATTATCAATTCTTCATTCCAATCTCTTTTCTCAAGACAGCCAAGGAYGTGGCGTTTTTCTCCCATGCAAGCTGTTAACACTCCCTACAAAACCCCTGCCAGGGCAGGAGGTGTCTGTGCAGTGGGTCCCTCCAGGCTCCCTGTGACTTTGACATTTGGGGACATCCTTTCAATGAGAGCAGCTTGCTCTGAAACACCAGGAAAATAAAAAAGAAACACTAAAAAATAAACAAGAAGTGAGAAGGTGTCCAGGACCTGACCTGGAGCCTTTGGGTTGGTGGAGGAGTGACAGGAGCAGGGACAGCCCCCTTTCCTCGCTGAACTTTATTCCCAWCCATTTCCATCCTCAGTGATTTACAGCATGGTGTCCTCTGATGGTCACAGGGGAAGGGTTGGTTTTACTGATGCATTACAGGTAGTTTCTACTCTTCCAAATGAAATGGGGTTTTCAACACAATACCAGGAATTCCATGGCATTCACGGCTGTGCCTCAGAGCAATGTGCGTTCGGGGTTACCCTGGAAAATCTCCTTCTGTGCTTTGTAAAAGCAGTGTCCCAGCATGCTCATTGAATCAAATAAAAGGCAAAAAAAAAAAAGTACTGATTTCAGAATATTTAGGAGGGTTTTGCCATGTGCAACATTTTAGCACTCATTCTGRAYCTTCAAGGTTTTTGATCCAAAAGCYGTGTTTTATTCTTGCTTYGCAAGCTTTCAACAGATAAAACTCCGAGGGTGGTGCAGCTCCTCCTGCCCAGGTTTAGCCAGTTGTGCTGCTCATCTCAGCCCCCTTTGTGTGTCCCACAGGTGTGGTTCGCCAGGTCAGGCCCATCATTGGACCTTTCCACGCCGTGCTCAAGCTGGAGATGAACTACGTCATGGGCGGGGTGGTGTCGCACCGGAACATCGTCAACGTGCACATCTTCGTCTCTGAGTACTGGTTCTGAGGGACAGCCACAGCTCCAGCCCAAAACCTTACCACCAGCTAGTATGGCATATATTTGTTTGTAAAACCCAATAGTGTTGTTTTTTTTTTTTTTTTTGTTTTATTTTTAAATATTTGGTTTATAGGTTTAAGACAGATAACGAGCTGTTACGTTGGTTAGACATAGGGTGGAGCAGATTAAGTGAGCCTGATGTAGTTGTTTGTATAAATAAGTAGTGTGTAAAAGTGCTTGACTACCTGGTGAAACTTAAGACTTTTCCTAAATGTTTGGGCAGATCTCAATTCTTGCTCCTTGGCCAGAGAACCTGAGTGACAGGCTGTGCAACAAAACAGAGTTCACTGCGATGAGTACGTGGTGTCTTTGGATGGAAGAGGCTGGATAAGGATTAAAAATTTCACCTCAAATTAACTGCCTTGAAGAGGATTGTCAGAGAGTGATAATTAGTTCAGTTTGGGCCCTCTGATTTGGCTGCCATAATTGTTAAAAATTTCTGAAAAGTTCAGCCTGGGTGTTCAAGAAGTGCCATTCATCTGTGGTTACAGAGGAARTGCAAAAGGAATTAGAAATAGTAAGAGACTAAAAGCTATTGCACATATTATAAAAATWCTCATTTTTTTGGTACTTATTATTTGATTGTAAGGTTGTGTTTGATTCTAATTAAAAAAGTACCTCTCATTGAAATTATTCTGCTGCAAGAACACGGCCTATTGCTTCAATTCCAATCTCACCYGTGCTCAGAAATAAATGTACATGGAAAACTCAGACCTTACCTCCTGACTTTGTAGAGTTTCATGGCTTTTTAAAATTGGTAATAAAATCAGCATGTTAAACTGTAAATTTCCTATGCGCCAAACCAAGGCATATGTAATAATATAATGAAAATCTCACCAATAAATGAATGTTTAATGTATTTTCTGGGCATCAAAATAATGTATCTTTTTTTTATTACAGAACAGAAGAGAAATAACTCCTTGTTCAAGTTTGTTATGTTTGTTAAGATGTGAGGAAATAAAGAAGGTCACGTGGGAAATATTTCAAATCATGCCATGGTTTCTGCTGCCCAGGAAAATTGTGTGATATGGCTGCTGTAAATTCATCAGTTTTAATTATGACTGAAAYACAGTTAAGGGGATAAAAGGGTTTTACCTCAGTGTTTGGGATCCCAGGTGCACAAAGAAACACAGGAAAATGCACGGATATAAATTTTATAGTTTCCACAAATTAGCAGATCTAATTTAGAATTCCCCAACAAGAAACTTAACAAATGCAGTGATGTCCCCCTATTCTAAAGTTCCCCCCAAAATGAGGCCAGAGCCCWGGTTATAAAATGTGTTCCAGAGAGAAGATTTCACCCAAGGCTGGAGCCTCGRGTTTGAGATGGCACAGGGCTGATGTGGCTCATTGAACTTTTTTTTTTTTTTGCTTGTGAATTGTGATGATGCCACTCGTAAGAGCAGCAGGGAAGATACAACACATATGAGGATATTAAATCTGCACTCTCACCTACTTTTTGCACAGTCAAAAGAAGCAAACAATGCCAAGGACAGCAGAGTAATCTCTTTTGGAGGATTTCAAAATAATTGTGAGGTGGTTCCAGGCAGCCAGGAGACAAGGCTGTTGGAATTCAGTAGAATCAAAATAAGTGTGGCCCTTCATATAATTTTCTTTTTTCAGTACGTGCAAATAACAGCATTCTGCAATTTCTTTCTACTTTGCCTTAGTAGAGAAACCCAAAATCTTTTATCAGCTCTTCCCTATCACTGTATCACCTGAACCTGATCTCATTTATCTGAGAACAAGTAGATCTACCCTCTTGCCCACTAATTTACCCCATTTAGATTAAAAGCCAATAAATCAGATGGAAGGAAATCAATCAAATGGAAGGTGATGCTGTCTTGGCCTGGCCATGCTCACAGAGCAACATTTGCAGGTTGATCCCTGACATGGTGATAAACTTTTTTATTTTGTCATTAACTGATGGTTCTGAGCTGAGTGAGATCAGGTTCAGTGATCCTGATCACAGTGATGGAGGAGAGCTCATAAAAGATTTGGGGTTTCTCCACTCAGGCAAAGCCAAAACCAACTTTCTGTGAACCCAGCCCACGTGTGACCTTGGAGCTGATCAGAACGACCACCCTCGACTCTGGATGTGAGGTAAATTAAATTACACAKTGCTGAATTGTCCTAATACTGCCAACATTTTGAGCAGAAGTTGTAATAATGATTAAAAAAAAGCACTACTGTAATGGATACCATCATAACTCTGTAACTACAGTTTAGGTTTTGAATATTACAAATATGTGTTTAACTAAGGCTAGCCAGAAAGWACTAAATGGTGCTTGGACTGTGGCCAGCTCCTAGTAGCTAGAAATTAGTAAAAAAAAAWTGGGATTTTCTCTTCCAAAGTGGAAAAATTGTGAACATTTGTACCTATTGAGCTGGTGACCKTTTATCCAGGTCTGCCAGGAAGCATCAGGTTTTCTGTGGCATCAAAARGATGAAGTTTGTAAAACAACTGCCAAAGACATGCCTAATAGAACATGAAAATCAAACACAGTGAACTTGCTGAAGGTGAGGACAAGAAAATCCCATCTGTGGAAGTGAAGGAGGTGGCACTATCTACTGCATCCTAGGGATTAAGAAACTATAACAAAATTAAAAAAAAAGAATCATACCACTTTGTGAGCTCCCTAGTTCATAGAGCTAAATGGGTAATTTTTTTTTTTTTTTAAACCTGCCCCATCCATTTAGAGTAGTTAATTTCTGCAGAAAAAGGGGAAGGAAGTTAAACCATTTTTCTAAATTACCCGGAAGAAGGAAGTTTTGGTTTTTTTATCAGAGGTATGTGTGTAAGGATGGAAATTGCTGCACAGTTCAGAAGTACTCTGTGCTGCTAAAGAGAATTTAGGTGCCYTTCTGTTTTAGGTGAAATCACCAGATTTCACCAAGACTCTTTGGTTTTGAACCATTTAAAGTTTTCATTATCAAATCCTTATTTCTCTACCAAACATTAAGCCCTGAAATGTCAACCTGACCTTCAAAATTCCCAACTCCCACCTTGGATCATGAGGGATTCCTGGGTCAGGCATCTCTGCAGYGTCTCAATTCCCTGGAAAATGCAGWTTGTCAGATCTGCCAGGTCCTTTGCTTCTCAGGCAMGAGGCTGGACCAGAAAATGTCACCCACAGAATAAAACAAATATTCTGAASAGGGCCTGGTCCTATCTGTCATAAAAACATTGAACAAAAAGGTGATAAAAAGRTAAGAAATCTTAGAATATGGAATATGGAGTTGGAAGGAAAAGTGTCTGCAGCCAACAGAGTTAAAATGCTGATGAAATKAACAGTTTGTGCTCCAAGGAAGAGCATTTATTTATATAAAATCTTTACTCAGTTCTAGTTGTGTAAATGGGTTAAAAAGTCATTGCAAAATAGGAGACCTGTACTCGACATCCCTATTTTTTTTCCTTAACGGGCTTTCCATGCTTTTTTTTTTTTTTTTTTTTGTTGTAAGAGTCAGCATACCAGTTTGGATGGGCTAGATTTGTATTTCAGCAATATTAGGATTACTTTTTCTTTACCTTTGTTTTGAATATTGATATATAAAAATATAAATTAAAAAAAAAACCAAACAAACTGACTTTAAAACCATAACACATTTTTTTTTAGCATCAAATCTGTAAGAAAAAAAAAACGATGATGTGTTTGTTGTTAAAAACTGCTGGTAAAGGGATGCACAGAAGGTTGATCTGGTCTGGGAGAAATAAGTGCCATCCACTGGGAGTTCATCCATCAGCAGTCAGCAATTCTGCACACATATCTCCCTTCCAGGATGTGCCATTTTCTGCTCCTGTGCAATGAAATTTTGATTATGGCAGAACACGTCCAGGTGTCAAAGGAGCTGGCACAAAGCAGAGGAATCCCCTGGAGTGGAGCCAGGGATGGTGCTGGGCTCCAAATCAGCCTGGCTTTCACACTGCAGGGGATTTCCTCACCAATTTGTGCAGTATTTTGTCTTGGCAGCATCTCAGGGCAGAAACAAGAGCCAGAGCATCACCACGATGCTGCAGAGATCATTTCTTGCATCTCAGGGTAGAAACAAGAGCCAGAGCATCACCACGATGCTGCAGAGATCATTTCTTGCATTTCAGGAATTTCAGCTCATCCCAGGCAGGCAATGGGAACCAGGTCAGGCAGGTGCTCTCTCTGTACTGCAGCAGCTTTAGTTTTCACTAAACCAAGACAGCAGAGAATCCTAAAATCAAAACAACTCAAGGAACAAAGTTTCCCTTCCTCCTCTGAAGAGTTTAACCCACAGGCCAGTAGATTCAGTTGACAGAAGGATTGGAAAATGTGATCCATGCAGACACAATGAGATACATGAAATAATAACCTGTAGGCACAAGGATTATCATGCAGACATAGTGAGATGTGTCCTTGCAAAGATGGGAACACCAGAACAGACACTGAAGTGCTGCTTTCTATAGGTAATGATTAATTTTTGAACCTTGACAATGTATGGACCAAACTCACCTATTCTGCTGATGAAAACAGAAGCAATTTTCTCCTCTGATGGTACAGGGCTGCCTGCACAGGCTCAGATATCCAAAATTGGCTGAGAGCTTTTCACAGCTCCTTTCCAGCCTGCCTGAGCTCTGGAAAGGTGTGTGTCCCCCCAGCCCCTCTGCCAGCCTGCTGTGAGCATTGTGGCCAGCACAAATCCGTGTTCAGGTGCCTCAATTGCCCCTTCTGCAGCCTGCCTGGAGCCTGCATTTAGAGAGAATTTTGACCAGAGTGGATTTTTGCCGTTGGGAAGATCAACGCGCTGTGGAAGGAAGAAAAAAATTATAATGGATTATATAGGGATTGCCTAAAATGTTACCAGCTGTGTGTTGGAGCAGGGAGCTCTGTTACTGCAGGCAGGAAAGGGAGTAAAATGCCCACTTTGTTAGCTGGGAAAACCCAATTTGTAAAGTTCAAATGTGCATTCAGAGCAGAGTCCTGGGCTGTTTTGATCAAAGGGGTGAGTACAGCCTGCTGAGAGACAAAAACATTAGCCAGGCTGGGTTGGCAGGAGGGAGCCAAGGTTTCAGCCACCAGATTCTCAAATCTTGGAGCACTGAGCTTGTCCAGAACTGAATTAATGCACAAAGAGCTGCACTTGGGAGCTCTGAGGCTCTGGTGGGCAGATGAGACACAGGAGGAGCTTTAAATTGCAGCGTGTTGATGGARTGTTGGGGAACAGCAGAAGGRACAGAATGAAAAAGATAATATAATGTGMAAARGATAAGATTTTGACAGTATCGTCRTTTATTTGAATTYCTTGGATTTCCAGGAGAGTTCTCCTTGTCCAAGTATTGGGGAACTTTGCTGACAAGGAGCTGTGTCCTCACAGGAGGTGCAAAGAGTTTGCATGGGATGGTTCCTGCAGCCAATTCAACAGCCACACTCGATTTTGGGTACTGAACCACACCAAAGCCAAGGTTTCTGATGTTGTTAAAGGGTTATTTTAAAACTCTCTTAATTGAATTAGTCTTTGAGTTGGCAATATGGGTTTAACAGCACAAACCACTCCTGCTCACCCCTTTTACTTTTTTAAAAAATCTCTCTCCGTGTTGTTCTTTTGTCCTGAAACAAATAAAAATAACTGGTCCTGACAACACCAGTCATTTGTAGAAATGAAAATGCTGCCAGGAAGGAATGGCTCAGCAGCAGAGAAAAATTTGGCACTTAGGGTTGCAGAGAGCTCCAAGTGCTGCATTCCCATTGAGGGTAACGCTATTGATTTATGTCATAATTTCACCTGCC